AATCAAGGGAACATGAAATTTAAGCAGTATTACAGTGGGTGGTTTTTATACATTTCCAGAATGGAAATTAAGACACAGTTAACTGCAAAAGTCTGGCAGACTGGGATTTGTGTGTTCATGTCCAGATTATGATCTCTTCCACATTCAGTTCCTTTAGTAGTGTTAATGTACCACTGTTCTAAAACATGCTGAAAGTAGGGTTAAAAAATGTAGCTCTATATGACATTTGTTATAGTGCTAGGTTTCCCATAAAACTGCTCCAGTACCCATCTGCACAGGTCTAATATATTTTTGTTTTGAAGGAAAACGCATTTGTTCTGGAAAGATATTGCAGCTATAGAAATTCCAACATAAAACCTGTTCATTTTAGACTTGATTTAATTTTCTTAATAAAAAGAACTTTAAAAAAACAAACCCAGTAAGCATTTTTCATCTATCTATTCTTATTCTTATTGTGTGTCTTGAAGTTTTTCTGACTTATGGTGACCTGCAGATGAACCTATCACAGGGTTTTCTGGGGCTGTGTGACTCACCCAAGGTCACCCAGTGGATTTCCATGGCTTAGCAGAGAATTGAACCCTGGTCTCCAGAGCCATAGTCCAACGTCCAAATCACTACACCACACTGGCTCTTGTTTAGTCTTCTACCCCAAAGTTATTGTCAAGCAGAGTGACCACAGACCTCACAAAAACCTAGTTCTGGGACTTCTTATCATTCATTAAGATATAATCCCTTTCTTGCTCTATTGCAAAAGGAACTTTAATTCTGTCTGCAGGAAGGGATGAGGCTATAGAGGAAAGTAAGGTAATGATGTTACAGTAGAACAGGTTCTAAAAGGCCTGAAGCTACCAACATTAGTGCAGCCATGGCTGTTTTCTTTGAAACATATCCATTTCAGGGTCCAGTTACTTACATGCTTTCTCCATCCCACCCAAGGCTGAATGTAGTACTTGCATGTGTGCTCAAAGACAGAACACATGGGGAAGGAAATGAGCATCACAATCAGCCTTTCCTAATTGCCTCATGCTCTGTAGATTTTCCTTCTTTTTATACCTCTTCCCCAAATTTGGCCACGTGCCACTTGTTTGCCCCATTACTTTTCAGTTCAGAAACTTGAAATTTGAAATAATAAAGGAATTCAAGCATGTAATTACATTAGCAGCACTTTACCACTTGATATTAAACACTTCAAAATGTCTAACATTTTAATTGTTTAAAAGTCAACCATAAATGAGGTCATCTGGATTCTTCATAATAATGCACATAATAAAGAATATCCGTTCTGAAGATCTAGTTTGTATAGAAACAGTCTTTGAAAGCACAGAAGTAATAGCTATTTCACATATGACTAGATGTTGAAAGGATGTATTGCACTGAATCAACATATTGGTAAACTGTATTTTTAGAATAGATTTCTTTATTGTTGCTTGCTTTTAGAATGTGGAAAATAGAAATCCAGACTAGTTCAGCCATGAAGGTCTTCCCTCATCCTTCCTTTGTCTATGCTGCTAAATACCACCCAACAGCTGAGTATATCATAGTGACAGGATGTTATGATGCAGTGATTAGAGTTTGGAATGCAAAAGTGAAGGAAATACATGGGCATCTTCTACAAGAGTTTGATGGTCACAGAGGTTTTATCAATACATTATGTTTTGATGCAGAAGGTAAGCAGCATTTCACAGTGAAAACACTGTATGTAGCAAATGATCTCTTTTCAGCTTTGTTGTAAATCTGTGAGGTGCCATGTTAGTATTGCCATTATGTACAGCAACTGAGGGGAATACTTTTGGGATTTGGCAAGTGCTCAAAGGCTACACTTTTTGTTTATTTCAGTGAGAGATTTTTCTGTTTTAATTTTTTAAAATGTAAAAGTAAAACCCACATATTGTGTGTGTTCAAGATTTCTGTTCTCTGCGCAGCCTTTTTTTCAAAACAAAGTGAGCATTTGGTTTCTTTTTGTCTAGTTTCAAAAAAAAAAAGCCTGTATGGCAAGGGCCCAACTGAAAATGTCCGTAATTGCAGTGAAATGGCACCCCCTGAAACTTCTGGGGAGTGCTATTGGCCATTTTTAGGCAAACACACCAGTTTTGAAAAGTAGGTAGATAAGATTTCACTGATTTTACAAACATGTTTTAACCCTTCATTTTCACATTGTTTGTGAAAAGTTTGTGTGTGTGTATATGTGCGTGCAAAAACTCAGCTGGTTTTACTATTTCCCCAGCTGGTGAAAAAAAAATGCTAGCCAGTGGCGTTTTGTCAGGAATGGGATAAAACAAGAAATCTCTAAAGAAATAGAGAAGATGTTTTTGAGGAAATAGATGTAGAAGGTGAAAAAAATTGACTAGATACTCTTTTTAGAAACCCTTACTACAATTAATTCTGTACTTTGAATGTTAGAACTGATCTTTCATCACAATAAGTGAATGAACTATTTTCTAGGATTTCACATGTTTACTGGAGACAGCACGGGGCTAATAATTGTCTGGAATACTTATGTTAAAGAAGATTCTCAATCACCAACCCAACACTGGGGCATTGATAAGGTATATTATTTGTTCATAATAGCTTTGTAGTTTCTATACAGGCAATAGAGCAGGGGTAGCCTCAGCCATGTTGGCCAATAGCTCCTGGGATTCTGGGAGCTGAAGGCCAATAGTTCCATGAAGGCCAAGAGCTCCTGGGATTCTGGGAGCAATTTTCAACCACTCCTTTTTCGGTAACAGAAAAGCCGCCTTTAGCAGAGGCTTCACTGCTTGTTGGAGGCTTGCACCATGTTACCACCACATCCCCAAGATGCCTGGAAGCCAGCTGACCATACCCCCAAGCAACTTGCAGCTGCCCCAAAGG